GCGTGATCATCGAACAATCAAGCGTTTCATTCAAAATAGTCAACAGGGTCGCAAGAAGCGTGTGGAAAAACCAAGGCGCAAAATAACTGCCCATGAACTGAGAAAAGTCAAGCGTGCAGCTGCCAAGATGCCACTTGCCACCAGTTTGGCCATATTTCAGAGCTGCAACATCACTGGAGTGCCCAAAAGCACAAGGTGTGCAATACTCAGAGACATGGCCAAGGTAAGAAAGGCTGAAAGACGACCACCACTGAACAAGACACACAAGCTGAAAGTCAAGACTGGGCCAAGAAATATCTCAAGACTGGTTTTTCTAAGGTTTTATGGACTGATGAAATGAGAGTGAGTCTTGATGGGCCAGATGGATGGGCCCGTGGCTGGATTGGTAAAGGGCAGAGAGCTCCAGTCCGACTCAGACGCCAGCAAGGTGGAGGTGGAGTACTGGTTTGGGCTGGTATCATCAAAGATGAGCTTGTGGGGCCTTTTCGGGTTGAGGATGGAGTCAAGCTCAACTCCCAGTCCTACTGCCAGTTTCTGGAAGACACCTTCTTCAAGCAGTGGTACAGGAAGAAGTCTGCATCCTTCAAGAAAAACATGATTTTCATGCAGGACAATGCTCCATCACATGCGTCCAAGTACTCCACAGCGTGGCTGGCAAGAAAGGGTATAAAAGAAGAAAAACTAATGACATGGCCTACCTTGTTCACCTGATCTGAACCCCATTGAGAACCTGTGGTCCATCATCAAATGTGAGATTTACAAGGAGGGAAAACAGTACACCTCTCTGAACAGTGTCTGGGAGGCTGTGGTTGCTGCTGCACGCAATGTTGATGGTGAACAGATCAAAACACTGACAGAATCCATGGATGGCAGGCTTTTGAGTGTCCTTGCAAAGAAAGGTGGCTATATTGGTCGCTGATTTGTTTTTGTTTTGTTTTTGAATGTCAGAAATGTATATTTGTGAATGTGGAGATGTTATATTGGTTTCACTGGTAAAAATAAATAATTGAAATGGGTATATATTTGTTTTTTGTTAAGTTGCCTAATAATTATGCACAGTAATAGTCACCTGCACACACAGATATCCCCCTAAAATAGCTAAAACTAACAAACAAACTAAAAACTACTTCCAAAAACATTCAGCTTTGATATTAATGAGTTTTTTGGGTTCATTGAGAACATGGTTGTTGTTCAATAATAAAATTATTCCTCAAAAATACAACTTGCCTAATAATTCTGCACTCCCTGTAAACTTGACAGTTACCTCTGCTGCCCTGTTACATTTAAACACAATGCTACAGAACAGTTTAACACCACCTTTAAGTTTAAAACACTGAAGTTACTGGGGACTATGAAACTACATTCTCGGGTTCCAGTTCAACATTTCTTGACAACCTCTTGAGTTTTGAACATGTACAAAGTACTCAGGATTCTGTGCAGAAAGTATAAGTACTACCCATGATTCAGTAGCTTATTGAACCACATTCACATAAATTTGTATATGTTTATGTGGGACTCTAGATATGACCCTCTAATCCTTTGAGAAAAGTTGTTTTTGTAGATTCAAGTCGTGTCCCCAGTCCCGATCAGCGTTTCAGAATCAGTTTACAATGCTGTTAATTTGCCTCAAGTCCAGGAGGAGTTGTTTTCATGTTTAATTTTTGACTTTTGAATTTGTATCAAGTCCAGTTTTAAAGTTTGCAGTTCTGCTTTGTTGATGTTTATCACACGTCTTGAGAGACAATCTCAGCAAGTCGAAATCTAGTCTTCTGGCTCTCTGACTGAGGCTCCGCTGCCAATGTAAACACAGTCCTCAGAGTGTAAAATCCTTTGTAAATGTAGTTGCTGTGAGTGAAGCTGAATTCTCCACTCCACCGCTCTCCTTCTTGATATACTTACCACCGATAAGCAGCAGACATAAAGATGGAAACACAGCCAGGCGAAGCCTTCTTATGAGGCAACGCGTCAACGAGCATTTGTATCGTAAACATTTTAATTCTGTTTCTTTCAAAGCTTTTACTTTTTCATACAATGACTACATCCACCCTGTGGCTACTACCAGAGTTTGTTCCTCTCTTGCTTTGCTCTTTGGATACGACTTGAGTTACACAGTTGCAATACTTGAGAGCTGAAAATGCACTTCAAACTTGATGATGATTAGATGCCTGACATTTTAGACCCAATCACAGGGCAATCAAGGCAAAGCACTTGAGCTAAGCTATGACAATTCAGTGCCTGCAATTTACCCAGAATTCCACTTGTGCACTTTCAGATGAATAATTCCATAAACTGCTCCACTGAACAGCATGTGCGCAGCTCATAAATACGTGTTCGTCCCATCAAGGAAATCCAGCTCAGTGGTGTATTTATGCTTGAATTTTCCTCAGTTTGTCTTCATGTTCGTTGCTCTGCTGGCGTTTGAGGTCTAATTTTGGTTTTGTGTCACGAGGGAAATTGTTTTTTTTTTTGTGTGTGTTTGATAGGCTCTTGTGTGCACTTGTAAAAGCCCATTTAGACATTAACAACAACATTTAATGGGCTTGAGTGCATGATGCACAGCACACAGCTGTATTTGTTACTGTGGGGTTAAATGTGATCTTGTGAGTATATGAAGCCTGGTCGCTCTAATGACGGCCCTTTTTATCTCCCGCTCTATTACCCTCTCTGACACTCCTATTTACTGTTTGTAGATGCATCAAGGGTGTACGCTGGCTCTTTGCTCGCGTTCATATAGAGCAGGATGGACAGACACATCAACCATCCACCCCACAGTACAGCTCTGGTCAATTATTAATGAATGTAACACTCTGTAGGCATTTCAACTGTCGTTCTCTCTATGTATCCATCTCGTATTTGTCATGTTGAAGAACAGAGTAGGCTGTTTTACATGCATATTGCAAACATGTATACAGGTGTGTTAACTCATATTTTGTAGCTGTGCTTAGCATGGTTTAATTAGTTTACGGTGCACATTTTATTAGTCCTGCTACATGTTATGGCCCTAAGGTTTCTTGAGTAGTGCTCTGTGTGTTGAGTTGCAGGAGTTTTCCATGTGGAGATTGCAGGAAAGGCAGAAATCTTGGCCAGTGTTCAGCAGGACTATTTAAATCCTGCCTTCCATGATTGGAGCCCTACTGCTGTCCTACTTTCCTCCTGTGACAGCCATGCCTTGGCACCACATTTGGTTGTTTTTATTTACACACACCATAAACTTGACTACCAATCCACGCACTGTTTCACACCACCGATATAGACTTACACACATATATTACACACACCATTATTCACTCACCCATCCAAATCACTGAATTCAGGTGTTCAGATCGCTTCCATGGTCTCAGGTGGACAGAATTAAACACCTAGGCATGCAGACTGCTTCTTTTGGTATTCAGCTGCTTAATTCCAGATGAAAGCAATTTGTGTATCTGGATACAATATATCTGGTTTATTGTTGGGTGTAATAAATCTTGTTAATCCTTTCTTGGTTAATGGGGTAACTACTCGATGTTCCAGCCTTTGAACCGGTCATATGCTCTGGGCTTTCATCCATACAGTGTTGAGTATATGGGTGCATTCAAGCTGACAAGTAATGACATCAAGCGCACGATGAAGGACATGCGGATGTTGGTTGAAAAGCCCAGTGTGGGTCGGTTTACTCTTAACCTCCAGTAGTTACCATCTTGGCTACACAGTGGTCAGCTAGCAGTAACTTTAAGCTAGTAGTTGGAAGATACATTGCTGGTCTCCATGACAATACCAACATAGCTGACAAATTAATAATACAGCTATATACCTATATAGCTTGAATAGACTTGTAAATATAAACCTTATTTGTGTTGTTTGGTGTTTAACTTTATTGAATTGTCTTAATTTGTGTAGTAACTTAGTACCTCTGTGGTAACTCACTGATCTCATTGAGGTCAACGCGCACACTGACATGTTGACAATCCTGTCTATACAAGCATTTCCTTTACATAATGTATGATATGAAGGTGCACTAACACGGGTTTATTCATTACTATTGAGAAAATGTGAAACAAAAATCCTGCCAGTCACTCTGTGAGGCTGATCTTTCATAATGTAGAAGAGAGCAAAGGCTGAGTCTTTGTCAGTTTCCTGAATTGACATTCATAGCCTTAAGCAGTAATCGGTGGGGGTGTAATTTGGTGGGCTTCTATTATTCGGCACACTAATTCACCTCCACATTTGCAGTGAGCAGTTGGCACTGATTTGAAAGTGTGTGTGTGTGTGTGCAGGTGCAGGTGCAGGTGCATTTCACATATGCTGTGAAGGCAGTGGCTGCACTAAGGCTGGGCTAATTACAGGCAGGTGCATTTGATTGTGCCCCCACTCTAGTCCATTTATGTCGTGCA